ACCTGGAGGTCGCCGAGCAGCAGGAGCGGCGACGAGCCGCGTAGCACGGCGCGCCGGGCGTCGTCGTTGAGGTCCTTGATGTTGACGCGGAGGATGGAGATCTGGCGCTGGAACTCGCGGTCCTCGCTGGAGGACAGGTCCGTGCCGATGGTCTGTAGCAGGCCGTCCAGCTTGGCCAGGAGCCGCCGGTACTCTTCGACAGCCCGCTCCACCAGCGTGTAACATTGGTGACATTCTGTCGTCAGGGTCACAGGCGGGTCAGGTCAGTGGCAGGTCAGGTCAGGGTCAGGCCCGCTCCACCAAGGTGTAGCAATGGTAACATTCTATCGACAGGCGTCTCTTGTTTGTATATAGACAGGTTAGGCCACGGTCAATCTAACAGTTGAAGCATTTGATACTGGTACGAGGGCTTCGCACCGTTAGGGGTTGACCAGTAGCTTCTCCGCTGACGCTGAACCGTGTGTTTGCCTTCTTTATGGGGCGTTTGCCTAAGTTACAGGTCATGTCAAAGTAGGTCGTGTCTGGAAAGTGGCCGATGGAGGTCATATTTCATAGCATTCGATCTGGCCGCTCATTTTGAGGTCATTGATGCCGTTCTCGAGTCGCTCACTCAATTTAATCAGGAGTTATTGACGGAAAATTTCGATGACCTCAAATGACCGTTATATAGCGACATGACATGTTATGTCCAAAATGCAAAAGCGAAAAATCACATTTTGAAAGGACGGGACATAACAAATCAACAGTGAGCAGTTAGGCACTAAAAAGCAGTTTCTTCAATTCCAAATTGACTGTTGAGATATCAATCAAGTAGGAAGGTCACGTAGGTACCCGACCTGACCTCAGGTGACCCTATGAATAATCCGGGACATTTGAGTGCAATAACTAAAAAAAACCCTGTTAATGATACCGATACATACGGCTTGAATCACCCGCTAGTTATGCAAAAATAATCACTTACGTTATCTCTAACCGCATTTCGAACAATCATAACGAAGACGTGGCACGAACTTTCTCGACCGGGAGCCTGAAAAGACTATAGAGACGCTATTTCCTGTAAGACATGAGACAAGGCCGTTCACTCTAAACCATTTAATAAATTTGCTAGCCATTCACAATAAATCGTCCGCGACAATATACCTAAGCTGTATCTCTAGCAGACGGCTAAAGCATAAGCTATGCTTTTAACACCGGTGACGTGTACACCTATTTATTAGTTATACATTCCTATTCAAATTCAATCGATTTAGAAACGTCAATCTGGATAATATGAGCCTAGATTTTCGTGACACGCTTTACACCTGCACTCACGGCCTTTCAGCTGGATATGCTAGCACCTCTGTTCAGTATCGTAACCCCTTGCCGGGGAGGGGTTACGTCGTTACGATAGGGAGGCCTCCCCCTCCCTTCCTGCCTCGGGGCCGCCCGTCCGATCAAAGCCGCGGCCGACACGTGCCTCTCGGAACGGACAGCGAGCTGTGCAGACCGGCGCGGGAACTGGCGCTCCCTCTGACTAATCGCCCGAAATAGCGGCGAGGCAGACCGCGGCGGCCTACTGACCGAGAGGGCGACCGAATTCCTGCACTGTTACACACGCATAGCTCTCTTGCATGCATGCTTACATATGTATAGGTGAGGCAGCTTCACTTTAGGTAGGCATATATGTATATGTGTGCATTTAGGAGGTGATTCCAATGAATCGAATCTTCAGCTAATTTAATGCGTCGTTCGTGAGAATGAAATAAGCGCATAGGTACCTACTACCTACAGCATAAGGCGCACACCTGAGAAAAGGGGTTCTCGTGAAAACTAGTCATTTTCTGGGTTTCTTCTTTCGTTCGACCCTATTGCGCTGATACAAGTGCTAAAATAACAGACAGCGGGTACCAGTCCACTGTGTTTTTATTTGGCATTGGTGTCCACATTGTTTAACCCCACTTTGTTCCATCTATGATAAGGACGTTTTAAAAAGAAACATAGCTCCCAATTAGAGCGTAGCTGCCGCTGGGCACTTCTTTGTTAGATAACATAAAAAGCACATCGATTTATCACAATACGTATTTCACCTTCACGAACTGGGGTTGTGCTGTTTCCAGGGATCGGCCGGCATGCTGAGACTGCTCGGGCTGAAATGTGTTAGATTTTAACCCTCGCCGAACCTACTGGTTTCCTATACATAAGCCCCGGCCGAAGGAGGGGGTGATGGCTACGACCCCCTCGCCGTTTCGCCCCTAATTGAGCTAGAGCCTTGCGGAAGAACGAGCGTGTGCAACGTTACAAGACGCAGCGACTGGTATCCAATTTTAAGGTCTAAGGTCATGACCTCTGAGGTCAGAGGTCATGTCAGAGGTCAAGTGTACCAAGGTACGTATGCGGCTTCGGTTTTTGGTAAATAACTTCGCCAGAAATAGCCGCAAAAATGCCGCTATAGTCACGGTTTTGTTACTGTTGTATTCTCTATGCTCAGGCGCGTCGAATGCTATTAGGCTTCTAATTTTTGTTTGGGTGCGGTCAACTTAAGGTGTTGACCTCAGGTCAAGGTCAGGTCAGAGCCATTTAGGTCACAAAGTTGAGCAAAGGTCATATTGCATATTATTCGCTTTGGCAGGTCTTCTCAGGTCCATTGGTACCTTTCACAGCTCGTTAGCTCAATTAGATCGGGAGTTATCGACGAAAAACTATTGTGACCCTAGTGACCTCATAAATGGCTTCACACAAGGTCAACGATGCAAAATGAAGCATTGAAGCTTTTAGGTAGTGCATGATATCACGAATTACGATTCTATGCTTCAGGTAGTTTTATCTCATTTCTAGCGCCAAGATGACAGTTTCCATATTTTCCCCATTCACTTATAGTGGAGACGGGGAGGTCACGTCATCGACCTGACCGGTGACTCTTGGAAAAAGTCTGAGCTATAAAAGCTGTGGGACCCTTTGAGGATACTAGGTCCAGTAGGTTTCAGCTCACTGAGGAACCTTCTCTGGCACTGAGAGCATTGAGAAGTTGCGACATTTTAGGACCGTGCGGAGGTTCACTTATGCCGTCATAGGTCAGTGACCTAACCTGACTGAAAGGATATTGATGCACAAGATCCGACTTGAATCAAACGTCATGTATGCTATCTATAAGAATCTTGATGCATGCCAAATTTCACCTCTCTATCTCCAGTGTGTTCCGAGTTATCGCGAAAAACCGTATGGGGGCACCCGCCCACCCCTTGGCCGGCGAGGGTTAATAAACGTCAATAACCGCCCGTTTAATTACAACCCGTCAGGGACAAAGTGTGATCTTCAGTGCGATAACTTGATCAATGATCAGCTATCAATGAATCACTGAATCGAAGATCAGCGAGTTACATTTACAGATGGCGCTTTTCTATGGCACTAGCGACACGGGCCAGTGGCCACGGACTAACCTGGCGTCTGCTGCTGGGTAGCTGTGCGCTGGGCGGCTGCTGTGCCCAGCAGCAGCAGTACAGCCGACAGCAGCAGGAACTTCATACTGCACGGTGGCTGACACAGCAGCTCCTTTCACCGCCGGTCTCCGGGTCGGCGCGCTGCCGACGCTCCCTCTCCGGCAGTGTGTCGCCGGCGCACCTTAGTTCCTCTATCCAGATCACCGGTCACCACTGCCACACAGACGCTCCGACTGGACTCGGCGGCTGTACGGCGTGCTGCACGTCGGTCGGTCGGCGTGCTGCTCCTCTTGGCACGGCCGCCGGTCGGAGCCACTATAAATACTCGTCCCGAGAGCCATCTCACAGAGCTCAGTTCACCTGCCAGTGTCAACAGTGGCCCCGACGGCGCGGCCGTGCGTCGGCTCCGATAGGTACTACTGACAGGTGACAGGGTCGGGGGCGGGGCTCAATGAGTGATGGATTAATTACATGTTCGGGGGTAGGTGCTGCAGGATTGTGACAGGTGACTCCTTCATAATCAATACTAATAGGACCGACAGCGGAGGTTTCCGTATCCGACAGACTCGAGAGTGGAGGCTCCCGTATGGGTCACACACAGGCGCAGGCTCGGAAGACAGATTGGAGGCTCCCGTATTCCCAAAGCGGAGGCTCCTGTATCCGATATGGAGTGGAGGTTTCAATAGTAACGACAGCCTCGGGAGTGAAGGCACCCAATGGTGCCCATTGGTTTTGTTGTATGAGGGAGCCTCATTCGGATATCAACTTCCAACAGACACAAATATATTTAGAAAAGTAAGCTCGAGATTGAGCTTTGGTAGCTAGACCCAGCTGAACATAAAATCATCACTGGAACGTTTGGCATACTCACACCTGTCAGAAATAAAGACACGAGGGCTCAGAAATCCTCGGAAGCGTATTTTCGCACACGTTCTGTACATTCGATTTCATCTGATCAGTCGGAAAGGCGTGGTGGCGGCATTACATTAGAATTCATGTGACCAGTCGGATGTGTGGCGATGGCAAGCAGAATGCGGACATCAGCGTGTTAGTGAGAAGCTCAGTAAAAATATGAGCTTGGTAGACGCTACAAGAACAGTCGAGGGCTTCACAGATTTCGATTTTTTTTGTGGACGGACTACAGAACCGAATGGTTTGCATTTCTTCGAGTGATGATACTCTCTCGCAGCACCTATTCACGGTGTTTACACGACAAAAGAACACGCTGCGGACTATTAAGTACCCAGGCGACGTATGAGCGAATTTAAATGTGTCTCGCTGTGTATTTGTATAACAATAGCTATGAGCTTGACCAGACTAAACCAATCAGGAGTCATGTCCCGGGAAGATAACACACAGGTCACAGAGTGCAGTTAAGCTATATCTGCGAATATTACCCCGGAATCATGCCTCTTCCTTGCAATTACTGGCCATTATGACATGCTACCACAATATATGACGTGTGTTTCCACTTAAAAATACACAACTATTTTGTGACATATAGCTGCATTCATCAAACACAGGTGTCATTTGCATCAAAAGTCGGGAGCACTTTCTTCACATCCCACAAAACACACGAGCAGCATCAATTTACGCTACTGTATTGCAAAAATGGACACATTCATACTGCGATTCGACATGCCCTGACTCGGTTAGCCCGCTCCGACTCCGTCCCTCTCTGAGCACAAGTTCACCTGCCATCACAAGCCGTCGGTTGGTCCAGAGCACCCCTGCTGCGCGCACTCCCCTCGCTAGAAGCCGGCCGTCCGCGCCGCGGCTACCGGCCCGGCCGGGGTCATTGTTTGAGCAGGTCATCGGCGGCGTCGGGGGTGTAAAAGAGCCGGCAGCGCTCCCGGACGATGGTTCGGCTCCGGTCGCGCACCACCTCCTCCACGTGAAGCTCGGAACGGTATAGCCGCAGCTGAAAAGGACACGGAAATGTGTGAGCCGCACGAATTCCCGCGACATGGGAACGATGCTTCTAAGGTAGAATATAAGTAGACAGTGTGGTACATACCGAGTATATCAGCGCATGTTTCCAAATATGCATCATATTCCTCCATGCGTCAGTATTTTCCCGAAAATAAAGTCAAGCCATGGAGGTGATAACACGAGCGTCTTTCTACAACGAAATGTGATATGACAATCATTTCCGAATCATTATCACCGTATGTAACTCTTCTCCTCGCTAACTCCTCGTAACTAGCTCTCTCACCTTGGACTGCTCACGGCGGAGGTCTCTCAGCAGGTCGGCGTTGTCCCTGCTCTCCTCGCTGGTCTCGCGCTGGGCCCGCAACTGGTCGACGCGGCCGGCCGTCTCTGCCACGCAGCGCTGCAGCGCAGACTCCCGGCACAGGTAGCTCTCCTTCAGCTGGCAGCCCACAACGGTCACAGCATTTACAGCACTGGATTTACGAGCATGGTAAAACCATCCATCGAATAACGTAACCTTATAATAATTACCTACTCTTAAAATAGTGTTACAAATTCAACGTTCAAATAAACTATATTCTTGCGAATTTCATTAGTAACTCGGAAACCAAATCCATCAACAACGAATTACTATATAAAATACATAAATACGAAATACAACAATGAATGACTACCAACTCCAACCCCAATTTCAAGTCACACCAGAAATGTATTACATAATAGACATTAGGCACTTACCTTAGAGTAAAGATCTTTGCACGTTTGTGAAGCATCGACTTGGCCCTCAAATGACTTTGTTGGTAATGACTGGTTTAGTGCATAAATTATCTTGTCATCTATTATTCGAGACTTCTTTAAAACCTCCTGAAAACAGGGAAATTTAGTTATAAAGACAGTGACACAAACAACACTTTGTTCGAGCAGTGAAGTACTGGATCTACAACCAGTGTCCTGTGAAAAAATATAAGGCAAGAGAATAGCAGATACACAGCATACTACATAGTACCCATCTCACCTGATAAATAGCATCGACATTCGACAATACATGCAACGTCTAGTGGCTAAGCCGCTAAATTATCTTAACATACACGTTATATTTCAAAAGTGTAACGGATCAAGAGGCATCCATTACGCCGGTGAATCTGCATCCGTTACGTTGGCGCGGTCCTGCTGGCCTTTGATTGAGACGGTCCAGCTCTTCCGGGGGGGGGGGGGGGGGCAAACCCAGTCACCGGTCCCTCGTTCCCGCAGCCCGCCAGTCACTGATCCGTTGGAGTCCCGGCTCGGCCCAGCTCGTCCGCCCCTCGTCCCAGCTCGTCCGCCCCCCGTCCCAGCTCGTCCGCCCCTCGTCCTACCACCCCGGCGGTTTCTCGTCCCAGTCTGACAATTGGCAGGACTTTATTTGACAGCTCGCTGGAGAGCCTGCTTGACCCACGCCCTGGTGGGGTCTGATTATAACGCGACCTGGTGGGGGGGGGGGGGCTATTCCCCCTCATATCTCCGAAACTACTGGACGGATTCGTAAAACTCAAACGGCGTTCGATAGCCCAGTAAGAACTGTCAGGGAGAAATTAATTTCATTAACCTCGGGATCACAGATAACGTCACAGGTCAAGTCAAAGCTAAAAAGATTCACCGTTCACGGGCATTGCAGGAAATGCGTAACATCGACACCGAGTAAAACGCATTTTATCGAAAATCATCGATAGACCGTCAGTTGCCTAGTACATATGTTGCTAAAAGAAAGATAGAGAAAAAAGTTGCTAAAAGAGGTCACCGATACCAGGTCAGGTCACAGCACAGAGATCAGGTGAGTCTGTGACCAGGTCACCAAGTATCAACACATGAACCCACCTTTACTAAGGCCATGTGACGCATGTTTCATGACCAATTTTTCATTTCCAACTGAACAGTCTTAGTTAGATGACCAGCAAGGATGGTTTAGGTTACGTTCTGCCTTCTGGTGGAGGTCAGGTCAAGGTCAGCTTAAAAAGGTCAAATTTCAAAGTTAATATTTTTGCGCAAGAAGAGGCATTAGTAAAGCAGAGGCCAAATGAAGGCTTTCTAACCAAGGAGAGACGCTGTAGGTTTGTAGGTTGTAGGGTATGTTTGCAGGTGTGTATGGTTGTAGGTTTTTAGGTTGTAGGTTTGTGGGTTGTAGGTTGTGGGTTAGGTTAGGTTAGGTCAGGTTAGGTTTGTTTAAGTTTTGTTAGAAAGAAGCACCTCCAGGTATAGGGCCTCTACTTAGTTGGAAAACCTGCACGACATCTGCTCTACCAATACCAAAAAGGGTAGGTAGGTACCTACATTATATAGTTCAGACTTCAGTAGTACCCACCTACCTATTTGTAATGGATGCAGCTCATCACCAGCCAGTCTGCAAAACGTGGCAGGCTTCGACGAGATCTCGTCGGGGCAGACACCACAGGTTGGGGCAGAAATAGGGGCAGGTTTCAGGAAGATTGGGGCAGAAACAGGAAAATCTGGTGCAGAAGTTAAAAAATTGACACAGAAGTGATTTTCTCAGCTTCTCACTGCTTCCTACATCATTATATCGTTACATTATTTGCATCATTAGGGGCAGGAATTGGGCTGCCCTGAAAATCTTGTCGAGCTCCCTGCCATGTTTTGCAGACTGGATCACCAGGAAGTCAATGGTGGTCTAAGTTTTATTTTGTGTGGTCTATAATTGCTGCAAATTGAGTTTGAATATTAGAAATAACAATTTTTAGCAGTTTTTTTTTTGCCAAAACTTTGCCAAAAAATAGTTTTCAGCTCAAATTTGGCAAGTTGGTAACAGACTAATGCGTCTATAACATATATTCCAGATTCTTTAAAATTATGCACAAAATTTGTACACATTTACACAGAAAAGCACACAAATTTATACACATAACAGGGCGTTATCAAAGAATAAATTGATTATTTACATGCTTAAGGACTCAAAATGATTTCGTCACAAATGCGCCATATATGTCTCAGACAGCACGCGATACGTGCCACAGCTCTCGTAAGTCATTGGTTACTGTAATAAAACATTACCTGGAAGGCAAGGAAATCAGCGCATCCGATCGATGATGGATTGACAGCTTCCATTGTCGCCCCGGAACTCATCGTAGGCAAAGACGGTCAGTTTTCATCAAAGTAATGGTGAGAGATCCCCTCCCGCCGGTCACTCCGTGTGAAGGAAAAATCGTGAGTTTAGAGACACGACGAAAAACTTTGAAGACTTTATTGAGAAGTCTTCAAATAGTTTTGCGTGTCTGCAGTCTACCCGGTTTATATGCCGTTTATATGCAATAATAATGGTGTCAAAATGCCTTGGTTTATCCTCACATGTAGGACTACATGAAAAATATTCTTCTATTCAATTTATCGTACATTCGCCGAGCATTTTATGCTAAAAATTTGGTTGAAAATGTTAAGCATAGGAAACAGAGATTACAAAAGTTCTGAGTTTTTTAACATGGTGACCAGTGGAGAGAAATGAGCACAATTGCCTTTTCGAGAGTCCTGAGCTTCTCATCTTCAGCTTGTTTGCTTCATGGGCAGCGGGCTCACTTGTCAAGAAAAAGCCGAGAGAAAAAGTCAGAAAAATCTTAGAACATAGAGAAAAATAATAAAGTCTTGCTGCGTGAACTCTCAAGTGACAGTAAAGGGGCGGCAGGAAGCTGAATGTTTGTGTAGTCACGTGATAAACCCGAGGCATGTATATTGAAAGTCAGCATACCCAGCGTTAGGTCACGTGTTTTTTGCCCATCTTCTCTACAGAAGTCCCACCGTGATTCTTGTGGGGATGATCAGTGACATACATTTTTACGAGCCAAGGCTATATATCGTACGCCGTGCAAGCCGTGAGTGAAAGAGATTGGAAAGGGTGGTGCGGGTGGTGGTGTATCTGTAAAACGCAGTTCACACTTGCCCGTAAGGTCTGCCGGTGACGGGCCCGACACCGTCAAAACGGCCGAATCTGACGGAGCGACGGCCGTCAGGTCGACGGGCATGTGTGAACCGGCAACGTTTGACGGCCGGCAACAGCTGACTGCGCCGGCGCCGGACCTGACGGCCGTCGCTTTGGAAAGTTCAGCAATGTTCAACTTTTGACGGTGACGGGCCCGTCCGTTTGAATGTCTGCGTGTTGGAGGAAGAGGAAAAGGAACGTTCTCATGCAGCATCAAGCTTATATGCATTTTTAAGAGCATTTATACCATTTTCCATCCATTTGTTCAGATGAAAGTGTTTATTACAGCACGATATCTTGAGATTCGATCCCTGATTTAAATCAGCGAACCTATGTGTCTTTCATTTAAATAAATTTGCAGCAATATTTGACATTAAAATGTAAATGCGTGGTATCTTATCTCTGTAATTCAAAGAATATTTTTTACCTCTCGGCCTCTACCCTCCCCCATCCCCTTCCCCCATCTGCGTCAATCTCGAAAATGGTGCGCCATTTCTGTCACAATATATGGCAGCCAATAGGAGCTACCAAATCTCAACTTTCGTTCGACGGGCTGCAGGCCGTCAGGTCACTATAATTTTAGGGAAGAATGATAAGTGATAATACCATTGACATGAAAGCAAATATATCACTTTTAACATTGGGCTTTGAACTATGGAATAGTAGTTTCGTGGCAATTAAGTCTAGACCAGCACAAATCAGTAGCTTTTGCGCCACAGCGATCAGTGATCACCCTAGGCAAAGATAATCCATTTCTTTTTCTGAAAAGAGTGCCTTGTAGAGGAGGGCAGCCATCATAGCATCAACCTCAGCATGGAGCTGATTTTGAACTACGCAATATGAATGGTCAGTGGGTAATAAGCTTCTGCGGCAGACACTAAAATAGGCATAGAATACAGTTCTTCCTTTAGGAAAAGGGAATAATCTCCTTCTGTAAACATTAATTTTTTTCTTTTCTGATCATTTTAAGCATAAAAAATCATAAAACTGTAGCAAAATACAAATTTGAGGAGTGGTAAATTTCCTTAAACCTATATGAGCTGAATTCTCAACGACATGAGTAATAAGAGTTTTGAAAAGCGCAACAGTTTTTGTGCTGCTCTATTCTCAAATGGCTTCTGAGATATAACTGAATTTGGATTTAGGTGGAAAAATATTCTTTGATGGTTTCTGAGACTTAAATGAAATGGAATTAAAGTGGAAAGTTTGATTTTTTATAAGTTCATTAATTCAGGGGACAGTTTCACAGCACCCAAGCTTATCCTAGGCAGAGCTTGTTGCACGTTCTTAGACCTCTATCATCTGATTAACCCTCGCCGGACCTATTGGTTTTCTACATACGCGCCGGCCGAGGGGGGGGGGGGGCGGGTACGACCCCCCCTCGCCGTTTCGCCCCTGGTGGAGCTAGCGCGTCGCGGAAAAAACGAGCGTGTGCGCCGTTACGAGACGCAGAGATTGGTACCCGATTTTAAGGTCCTAGGTCAACCGGTGACCTCTGAGGTCAGGTCAAGTGCCTCAGGGTACGGTTCAGTTTTTGGTGAATAACTTCGCAAAAAACGGCCGCAGAGCCGCGATTTTGGCAGCATCGTGTTCGCCTCACTCAGGCGCGTCGAATGATATACTTTTTGTTCGGGTCAGGTCAACTTAGGGTGTTGACCTCAGGTCAAGGTCAGGTCAGCACCCCCAGGTCACGAAATTGGTCGAAAGAGGTCATGTCGCATATCATTCGATTCGGCAGGTCTTCCTGAGTCCATTGGTGGCTTTCTCGACTCGCTAGCTCAATTTGATCGGGAGTTATTGACGAAAAACTAATATGACCTTGATGACGTCATAAATGACGTCACGGAAGGTCAGCATTGCAAAAGTGACGCATCTAACCTTGCAAGGAGTGCATCAAATCACGATTCTGTGTGCTTGAGATAGTTGGAGATCGTTCCCGGCACCAGAATAGCAGTTTTCATTTTTCCCCATTGACTTATAATGGTGAGGTCACGAAAATGACCTGACCTCATATGACCTTTAGGAAAAATCCGAGATATACAAGTTGTGAGACTCATAATGGATACTAGATCCTGCAAGTTTCATTTCCCTGTGACATCTCCTCTGGCAGTGAGGGCGTTGCGAAGTTGCGACATCTGAAGACCGTGCAGAGGTTCACTTATGACGTCATAGGTCAGTGACCTGACCTGACTCAAAAATGCGGTTGGTGTCAAAAGATGCGGCTTGGATCAAAGGTCAGGTATGCCAAGTTTCAGCTCTCTATCGCCAGCGTGTTCGGAGCTATCGCGAAAAAACCCTATGGGGGGGGGGGGGGCGGCACCCGCCCCCCCCCCTCGGCCGGCGAGGGTTAAGCCATGCAGGTTAGGTAGAGGTACCTCCCTGGGTGCTTTTATGCCAAATAAAGTTTAATTGTGCTATCAAAGGCGCCCATAGTTTTTTTCCACTTTGTTACAGTGAACTGGCTGCAGTTGATTCCATCAACTACAGACAGTCCTACAGATCATCTGGATGTTTATATAGGTGTTCTCTGCAGCAATTTAAACCTGAGGGGGTGGAGGGTGTGGGGCTTTTGCCTGTGCCACCTGGAGTCCTAGACTATCAACTGGAACAGAGGTCAAGGTATCTATGAGATGCACAGTGCTTTGTTTTAAAGATCTCTTCAACACTGCATGCCACTTTCCCAGAGCAGTGAAGGAGCCATGTAATAGGTACATATAATAGCCCTTTTCCAGCAGGGCATAAACTTTTGCAAATGCAGACCCCTCAGCAAGGCATGAATTAGTCATAGTTGTGAATCCCAGCTGTGAAGACTTGCATGCTTTATTGGTACAAGCAGGGCTGCGGAGTCGGAGTCGGAGTTGGTCGGAGTCGACAGTTGTGACCGGAGTCGGAGTCAGAGTCGGAGTCGATTTTAGAAACCCGAGTCGGAGTCGGAGTCGCCGAAAATCCATCGACTCCGCAGCCCTGGATACAAGTATATACCTACCTAATTACTGCAGGGATGTTAACAAGGCTAGCTTAAATTATACACTGTGTAAGACCATAAACATGAGTTAGGGACATGAAGCTATTAATTTTTCCTCATAATTGGATGCTTCATAGACAAGACTTTCTTTGGATGACAACTGGGGATCCACAAAATCAAACCCAAGGTCTGCATGAGCAGACATCTCTTGATGTCTGTTGTTAGCTGCTTTGACCACTTGTAAGCATCCTGCATCCCTGGGAAAGTGTCACATTCCAGGCTAAGAATAAGCATCTGGCAGAATCAGATAGCAGTTGTGAGGGTCTGCCCAACAAGCTCTGCCTAGCATGGTCTCTGGACTCCAGCTGCTGAAGTCCAGCACTGTCAGCTGCTCATTTAAACATTTAAACTAAATTAGAAAGCCATATGCTTGACTGTGTTCATTGGCTTGCAGTAAAAGGTCCTGAATTTTGTTATTTCGTGTTTGAGGTGCAATGCTGCTTTCTTAGTTCAAACCCCTACATCATAAAATGATATTCCATTTCGTTATGAAAAGTTAAAGTGTGTTGGAAGACTGATGTTATTGAGATTTAAAATTCGTGATTGTCAACAGCCAATAGCCTCTACTGTTTGTCCCTGTGGCTTGTGCTGAGCAGAGACTATTCCACTGACTCGTAACTGGATGTTGTATGCAGTCAGCGTCCAGTGACAATGTCTTCGCACCGGCACCGCTACAAGAACGAGGGTCTCGACTCTGCCGAGCTGCGGCGCCGCAGAGAGGAGGAGGGCGTCCAGCTGAGGAAACAGAAGCGCGATCGGCAGCTCAACAAGAGGCGCAACGTGCCGCCGCTGCAGCCGGCGGCGCCGGACGAGCCCGCGCCGGCCGCTGCCCACGCCCAGGTCAGTCAAGGCCAGGGGCCCGCCGGTCACCGCCAAAGATACCTACGCATGTGTCCATTGGAGGCTGTTGTTGCTGTTGTTGGTGTTCCTCTCAGGGCCGGCCGGAGCCGGCCTGTGGCCCCAGGAGGGGCTCCTTGTGGCGGAGGTAGCCGGCGGCCAAGGCCGCCACCAGCTCGCCGTCCTTCAGCTGCTCCGGTCGCATGTGAATGTTGCCTGTCAGTCGCAGGCGGATGCCGGCCAGGCACGGGCACCTGAACAACACATGCTCTGGGGTGTCGGCGTGTGTGTGGTGCTGTGTGTGTGGTGCGGTGGATGTTTTGCGTGTTTCCGCCAAGGGCAACGGTTTTTCGGCGCGGCAGCCGGTACCAG